TGTGTCTTGCCGATTTTTCCTAATTTTTGGGACTTGTGCAGTTGGGTTTTCTTTTGCCAGGGTGAGATGGTGGCAGCTGTGTGTGCAGTGGGCAGCAGCAGGCTGAGTATCTTCAGCCTTTGGCCTTGCTTTTCTTGCATTATAAACAGCTTCTGGAGCTCAGGTTTTGTTGCCACATCAATTTTGTAAGCTGTACCGGCTAGCAGAACAAAGTTTCTCTACAGCTGCTTTGTAAATTTCATATGGACAGGGGCCAGCTTGCTGTCACTACAGCCGAACATGGTTCATGCATGAGAAGGAGAGAGTTAGCCAGTCACACGCCAAGCACACACATAACAGGAGTATAAATCAAGGGACAATGGGGAGGTGACATTCACTGTCAGGTCACATGCAGCATTTTCTCCTCACACCTTGTGTGGGGAATCAGAGGAGCTTGGTTGCCCAGTGGGACTTTTTCATTGCCAGGCTGGAAGTACCTTTGACAGGAACATGGGTGCCACAGGGGAAGGGGAAAGGCCATTACTGTTTAATCCCCTTTGCCTATTGCTGCAGCTTGCTAGACCATAGGGAGTCCCTATGCACAGAACCTGTTATCTGACAACTCCTTAGGGATGGAGAGCACACATTATGGGTTAACCCTTCTAGGAAGCTAAGCATCACACAGCTGCCTACTCACTCCCCCTCCCCAGTGGGACAGGGGAAGAGGAGAGGAAGACTACAACCAAGAAAACTCATAGGTTGTGATAAAAATAGTTTAATAAGCAAAGGAGAAGTGGAAGAAGAGAGAAAGAGAACAAAACAAGTGATGCAAAGGCTGTCTCTCATGCCCTCCCACAGGTTAGACCAGTGCTCAGCCAGTGCCTGAGCCAAAGATGGCTAACCCACCTAACACTCCTCCTCTCTGTTTTGTTGCTGAGCATGATGTTATATGGCATGGGATATCTTTTTGGTTAGTTCAGGTCATCTGCCTGCTTGTGTCCCCTCCCAACCTCTTGTGCACTCACAGTATAGTCACATCTAAAACATAGGACCATACAAGCTGCTATGAGGAAAACTAACTCTATTCCAGCCGCAACCAGCACTGGAGTTCTTCCCTAAGCTTTTTTTATTCATCCCAGTCTAGCTGTCCATTGAGCAGCCCCAGGAGGCTTTGCAAGTTTGACCAATACATCCTGCTTGTGCTATGTTGTGCTCCAGAGAGCCTGCCAGGAGGCTTGCTGAGGCCTGCATGCTGTGGTGCTAAGCCTGGGAGGCTTAAAAAGTAGTAACACAGAGGTTTGATGTCCAGGAGCTTTTTTTTTATTTCCTCCACAATTTCAGAGAGCTCCCTGCCCCTTCTCTGGTATTTTGGAGCAGTGTTATTAGGAAGTTTCCTAGTTCCCACAGATAGTGAGCAGATGTAGGTCATGCTAAATTCCTCTGGCATTTTATTGCACTTCATGTTCACTGTTCACCCAGTACAAGGGCAGAGGGCAACACACTAGACGGCAAGTAAACAGGAGCACAGGGGAAGACCACTGAAGATGTCAGAGCAACTCAGAGTATGTTCCTTCCTCCTGGTATACTTTCATCCAAAGTGTCCCCCTTGAAGCTGGGAAATCACTGCAGTGTTTGCATTCCCCTCATGACACCGGGGCAATGTGTGGATGCAGGTATTGTACTGTGGCCCCCTGATTTGAGCCAGGGTAGCATGAACAGGGCAACAAGTTATGCTGGTTCCCTGAGGGTCTCTTGGACACAGGGGTCAGATAGTATCGATAACCAGTTATTTGTGTCTGTGGCAAAATAGGAAGTGCGTACGATGGAAACTTGAGTCCCTGTCCTTAGGAAGTCGTTGCTGACATCTACTGGTTGAGAGCTGCAGAGGTTTCGGGCACTAACTATCAAAAGTACTAGGCTAGGAGATGATATTTTGACTAGTGATTTTGTTTGCTGGGGGCAGTTGTTCAGTGCAGCCCCTGTGATGTGACATCAACCAGGCAGCATGTGAGAATCCTCCTTAGATCCTAGCTGTGGGTACTAAGAAGAGATGAGAACCATTGTGTGAGGTCCATCAGCTTGTTCATTCCTGGATCTAAGGTTGTATAAAATCATCTGGAAGGACACTCTCTGTGCTCCTGAATGCAGGACACAGGGTCAGCATGCTGTGCACTTGATATGAGTCCTGTGAGTCTGACTGGCGCTAGAAGTCTCATCTCTCAGAAATTCTTGCTTTTACAGTGTTTTCACTCAAGAGAGTTGGGGCATCCAGGCAATCCCTAAAGGAATATTTTTGGAGTTGGTTCCTCAGGGTGAATGACATGGGTTGCCTACCAGTTTTGCAGACACAGTGTCTCCACTGCTAGGAAGTGGCTCTTTCATTCATCTCTGTAAAGAAAGTAATACTTAACCAAAAATGCTTGGGGTTAACATAAGTATTTGCATATGATCACTGTTGTGAGGGAGTGAATGTCTGAGGTGACGTGCTTTACTAGCAGAGAAAGAAGACTGGGTTTTGCTCTGTAGTCTTTGTCATTGTCAGTCTTTGAGGAAGGGAAAGAGGTCTAGGCTGCAAAATATACTGAGGAAGGCTGCTACCTAGTAGAACTTCTGTATCTTGAAGTTGTGCAGAACCCTTCTGGACCTTCAGGGGCTGGAAGATTGTGGCTGGAATGGATGGCATAAGATGAGTGTCTTGCTCCATGCAAGAACATTTATCTGCTTGCATGAATATGCCTGTGCCAAGGGACTTCAAGATGCAGAGTCTCTGGCTTTTGCTAAAAACCCATTTTCTTCTGACTCTGTCATAATCAAATGACATATTGTATGTGTTTTCAAAGGAGGCACGTCAGAAATGCAAACTCTTGCCCATGAAGCAACACTTATGCTCAGTTCGTCAACTCTGCAGAGTTTAAATGCCATGCTGACCTGGGGATGTTGCAGTGAGCTGGTACATGTGCAAGCAGATGCTCTTGACTAGGTCCCAACTACAGAACAGGACTCTGGTAAGAGCTACAGCACTGCACCTAGCTTATCTGGCATTTACTGAGAGGCTCTGTTATAACACTAGTGCAGTGAGAGCATGGGGAAGCATTGCCTGAATCCTTACTAATGGTACTTACGACAAAAATGCATCACCAAGTGCACCAAGACTGTTCAACCTGCTGGACAGAGGACAGCCAGCTTCAGAGGGCTGAGTGTGAGAAACTGTGGGGCTAGACACAACAGAACATTAACTGTGCTGTGCTACTCAGTGCATCTCAGGGCACACAACAAGTGTAACAGATACTGTGATCACCAGCTAAGCTAATAATATTTGTTGTTGCAGGCATTGAGACTACAGTATCACTGTACGATAATGGCGTATTTCTGATTGCTCTTTTGTACACTGGGAAACACCCTGACCTTTCACTGGATTTTGACTCTAGACAGAGCTTCCTACTAGTCCTCTGAATAAAAGTACTTGGTTAGCTGTCCTTCAGCTGCTAAATGCACGAACATGTAGTCTTGAAATGCACAGTGCCTTAGATTTAAAGATGAAAGTGTTTTTTTCAGCATATGTTTCCCTGTTCCTTATGGAGGTGGTACTAATTTGCACAGCTCTCTGAATCTTACCAGTATAACTACCAGGGGCAGGTGAAATGTTGAAATCCTTATGTATCTTCACTACTGGCCTTAATAAGCCTCATAAACTGATTATTTCAGTGACATTTTCCCCTATATTGAAAGCAAGCTGGATACCGATTTCTGTCTTTTACAGCTGTTGTTATGAAATGGTGTTTTATTTTGTTTCATTGCTGTATAGGAATTTATGGCATTGTGTTTGAAGGATTTAGAAGAGAGAAAAGAGCAAGAAGCTGGTAACAGGAGCGTAGAGCAGGCTGCTGATGATCTGAAGGTAAAGCATGGTTTGCTTTTCCACTGGATGGTCATTTTCCAAGGGGAGACATTTTTGCTTTCTCTGTAACTGTTCAAAGACCCAGGCAGCTATTGCTTCTCAGGAAGACAGTGTATTCCCTGTATCCATCACAACATATTACTATCAAAGGGAGATTGGCCTGGCCCTCACTCCCTGATGAGCTGAACACCTCTGGAAGAACAATGTTCAAATCTTTGTGCAGAGGAATAGTAAATAGCCCCAGCTGCGTATGTTATTCTAGCTTCACTGATGTATGTTATTGCACTGAACTGCATTATTGAACAGTCTGACTTCAGAGTTAAGTAAACACAAGAACAGCTCTATTGATTCTGTCTTAAGAATGGGAATGTATGCTAAGCTCCACCTCATTTATAGAGCATGAAATGCTCTAAGGAGCATTCTAAGCATCTCTGTTACAGAAATGTTAGTAAGAGCTGGAGGGAGCTTTTAGAGGTTTGAGGACATTGTGGTTTGATGTCACTTCATTTTGGAGTCTTTCTTTTCCTAGCAGCTTCGTGTCCCCTGGTTGCTTTAAAAGGGGGCAAAGTGTGGCTACCAAAGGACCAGGTCTACTGCTTGAAGCAGTTAGTAACTGGCCCTGCTACATTCCAGATGAAAACAGCAGTTTTTGCATAAATAAGCATCTGGAATCTGTCCTGAAGCTTTTCCATCCAGGACATCAGCAGGTAAATCCTGGCTGCACTCCCTTAAGGGTAAACACCTATTTCTCAAGAGATGCAGCAAGTCAGTAAAAGCCTATGAGAGAAATGCCTGAGATGTTAATGGTCTGTTGAGTATGGGGGACACACTCTTCTGCTTCATCTATAGGCACATGCCATTATGAGCAAAAGGCAGCTGTCAGACAAAGTGACTAAGCTCCATTTACTGCTTTGGGAAGAGGAGAGTCTGGCAAAAAACTTCATTGATGAAAAGACTCAGCAAGCCCTGGAAGCACATCAGCAGCAGCTGGAATCCTGTCGAGAAAAGCTTGCAGCCCTGGAGACCTCACAACGAATCAGACAAATACAACAGCAATGTGATCCTATTCAGTTGCTGGAGGTGGTGTTGTATGGCCTCTTTCTACCCCTCATAGTCCTTGGTAAACTGCTCTAGCGATCTCCTCTGTTGATCCTTCTATATGTAAGCAGCATCTTTCTCACTGCTTTTTAGTCTTCTTTTGTTGGTATTTTGATGAACCTGTTTGGTTTCTGATTTTTTAGCTGTTAGGTGTTCCTGTTATGGCATTGACTTCAGGTCTGTATGACATTCATGTTAATTTTAAGCACATATGGAACAGAGTTATAAGTGTCTCTCAATCTTGAAGATAAACACTGTATCAGGTCTTTCCTTATGCAGTGTAATACGAAGGTCTGAGGAAAGGCAGCCCTCTTGGGAACCTTAGGAAGAAGGACTAAATTGTCTCATTTCTTTAATCACAAGAGAGCCTTATCACCCTGAGCAATAGCCATCATTTTACTGAAGGAGGCAGTGTTTCTCTTTTTGCCTACAGATAAATGTCAGCCACTTTCCTAATGATCTTCTTCACCTCCCTTGGGAAGGATGTGTTGCCACATGCTTACAGCCAGACACAAGCCAAAGCATGCCATTCTTCATGGGAAGGCCTGTCATGCATTTTTACGTCCTTGTAACTTAGCAAACTTGAGACTTTGCATTGTTGTGAGTGATAATGGCCCTGGCATTCTGCTGTGTGTGCTAGCAACATACCTCCACGTGGGAAGCTGCTCTTCATGGTTTTGGAGAGATTTTTTTTGTGGGGAAGGTTGGATTTTGTTCTTTAGATTGCTTTTAAAATTTAGTGGTTTAATTTTCCCACTGTTGGGATTTCCCACAAAGGGTCTTAGCCAGGTTAAACTCATTTGCATCTTAGTGTGTCCTGGAGGGCACTGTTTTAACCATGACTGCTGGATGCTCCATCTCAGGGGCAGCCCCTGGCTGTACTGGCCAGAGGAGCTAATGGGCAGGCTAATGAGCTAATAGGCAGGGCTTGCCTGTTATGGCCCATATATTTACCTAGTGATGGAACTGTCCTTGCTCTGTGGTGTGTGGGAGCTGGGAGGGAAGTTTCCATTCATGTCACTGTCTCTACTAATTGGAGAATTTGTCTTTCTGCCCTCAGAAGTACACAGAAATCGAGAAGGAAATACAGGAGCCCAGATACCTGTTAGAACAGCGGCATGCAATACCTCTCTCATTTGAACACATACTTAACCATTATAAGCAGTTTGTGACAATTCTTCAGTCCATTCTACATAGACCACTGGAAGCCCGGCTTAAAGAAGGTACCTGGGAGAACGCTGTGAATTTTGCTTTCTCCTGCTTTCCTTTTAAATAAAGCATGGTCTATAAGTAAGAGCAGGACTTTTTACCAAATCAGCTGGAGAAGACATCAGCTTTTCAGGCCTGGATATTGTTCTCTGACAGCATTGGTTTAACATTGCTATAGCAGTAGTGATTTAGGAATGCAACACCAACCATCACATTTCACCCAGCTACTTTTTAATAACCGCTTTTCTGAGAGTTACCACCAGGAACCATATAGCAGGGTGCTGGGGAAAATGGTCAGACCAGATCTGAAAGGCCAGTGCAGGATGTGTGGATAATTGCTAGACAGTACTGACGTGCGGAAAACAGACTCCACAATCTGTAAGATTGTAAAGTAGGTATGTTTATTCAGCGCTGGGCAGCATGGGGGGGTAGTCCCACCAAAAACCGTGTGCACACCAATGTGGCACTTACTTCAAATATATACGGCAAAGTGTTGCATATACATAAAGTTTCACAATATGCCTATACATATGCATGATCTGTCCCCGCTTCGTATTGAAATGAGTTTCAAGACGTTATTTCCATGAACTCCTCCCATCTGCGCTTGCGCAGTGCCTTCTGGTGGTGCTCGCTGAGGGTCGTGAGGATGAAGGCCGGTGGCTCCTCTTCGTCACCACTAGTAACTTGTTCTTATGCAGGCTCAGTTGCTCTTTGGTTTTCATCCAAACCACAAGGTCAGTTTCAGCCGGTTCTTGAGGCACTCTCCTGGTTCTTATCAGGGACCGTCCTTGTGAGGAGCCACAAGTCTTCTCACTCCTGTCAGTTTATCAGGAACTGTCTTTTTAAGGAACTACATATCTCCTGCTTTAGTTGCTTTACGCAATAGCTAACAAGATTTCAAACCTTATCTACTTAATAACTGCTAAGATTCCCTTAACCTCCCCTCTCAGTACCATGCAGGTGTTCTGTAGCTGCCTGACTCTGTTGTCTTCAGCTGCCTGACTCTGTTCTTGTGTGATAGAGGAGTGCTTTTTGGGGAACAGGAAGTGCGTGGGGTTGTGCTAGATTGTGTAGTCCCTTGGCAACACTGTGATACAGAAACTCCATGCTATCCAAAGAGCTTAAGATCAAAAGCATACAAGCCCTTCCCCAGCAAAAGTAAGACAGTTTGTCCCATAAAGTTGGAAAATGGAGTGTGACGGTATGACCTTCCCCGGGACATGGGTGGAATTCACACCAAAGAGGCAAAACCCAAATAACCCATTAAGCAAAATTGCCCATGGTGTTTTATTTTTAAAATCTTCTTCACAAGTACAGACAAGTTCTTCCACTGGCAGAGTCCTTAAATTGTCCCTTTTCATATCTGCTCAGATGTTTCAGCAGCCTTAATGCCACTGCAATGAAGTGTTGAAAACCATGTCTTCTGTTGATTGGTTGCTTTTCTTAAAACGTAAGTATGAACAAAGAAGCATTCTGAACACATGGCTCAATCACTGAAACAGTCAGTGAATGTGTGCTGCCACTACCTTAAAATGCTATCTTAAAAAGGTTCTGATGTTTACAGTGTTTGCGAGGAACAAGTGCTTAGCACTGCATAAAAGTTATTACCCTTTTCCATAACTCAGGTTGGGAAAGAAAGTTTACTCTCTGTCTGTGAAATCTTATCTTTTGTTTTTATTCAGAATTGCCAGTGTGTGAATGAGCTAGTGGGTAATTTAGTTTTTGAAGACTTTTCTGTTCTCCAGATCATTATGGTCTGTCTTTAATTAATGTGCTAAGGGTCAGTCTACAGGTGATCTTTTGCTCTGGTGTTGGTAGGAAAGATGTATGTTGTTTCATCTCTGTGATGGGAAGCTAATGGACATTTTCTGTGGCCTGCAGCAAATGAAGGCTGTAGCTGTTTTTGATCTCAAAGCTGTAACATTCCCTATTACCATGGTACCTGGTGGCAAAGACCTATTGTAAGAGAAGGATTGTTTTCTGGCCTGGATCCAGCCCAGTGGGGGCCATGACTGTGGCCAAGTGGACACTTGACTTCTGGCTGTTATTCAGTAGGGAGGACAAGGGACAGTACTGTGCTGGTAGAGTAGGTCAAATGATATCCCTGCACCTATAGGTTTGTGTGTTCTGGGAGAGGTATTTTTCAGTGTTGTTACCTTGTCTTGTTTCTGTGCTCAACTGAGTGAGCTTCTAAGTCCAAACACTGCAACTTTATCATTCCAAACAGGTTGTCTCAATAGGAGATGAGCAAAAAATTGTTGCACTTGTAAATGCAGCAGGTCTTAAGAAATCACAAATGCAACAAGCAAGGTTGGTCTTCCTGGGTGTGATATCATGGGTCTTTTCCAGCTTGCATCATTTTTGTGCTGGAGGATCCAGACTGAGTCAGTCACTTTGCAATTGGACCTGTTAAGGTGCTAGGACAGCCAGTCCACGTCACTGAGCACTTGCTACTGAGGGCACTGCAGCAGCATTTGGCAGGCAGTGAAGTAGGCTCCTGAGTTTCATGAATGCTGATCTGTATCTGCTTCAGGCTCCCTCTTGATGGATTCATGGAGAAAGCACTGTATTTGCTTCAGATGTGAGCAGTCACTTTAAAGGCTGAAAAGGCAATTTCTTAACTGGGTTAAAGCTAAATATGACAAACCACGTCATTAAGAGAGATATGCAGCTGCTCATAGGCCAGTGAAATTGACAAACCTTGGTCATAAATACTTGGGCTTAAAGTCACTTAAAATTTTCATCACTTAGGAAAGGTGGAATAACTGCAGTCCTCCAATAATCCAAACAACCCTAGATATTTTGCATTATTTTTCTAGTCAAATTCACATTTTGCTTCCAAACATTAGCACCTGGATGCTTTGGTTCAGCCCTTGGGTTTTTGCCCTTTTTTTAAAGCAATAGAGGTATTTCCACTTGCTTGAAGTTTAGTATTTACACATTTTACGAAAATCTAGGTTTTCAGGTAAATTTGGCTGACAGATATCACTACTTATTTGCACAGCTTTTCAAGTGCTTACTGGAAAAAGCACACACTGAAGCCAGACCTGTTAAATCCGCCCTACTTTAAGTGTCTTTTGGTCTCAGTGTCACCTAAAACTTAGCATCCCCATTGTTTACCTGCTGGAAGTAACTTGGAACAAAGACTCACTGCAGTCATTCAGAAGATAGAATCCTATAGTGTGCTGTTTTAACTGCATGAATAATTCCTGTTTGCTGTCTTTTGTCACCAACTATGTGCACAGATGTGACTTAGGACCTATTCAGGCTACATGAACACCAATAAATTTTCTGACTAAAGGGTAGTGGATGTCACAATAAGGTGTGTGAGATGTACGCTTGTAGTGGTACACTTTTGGACGTTTTAACATTGTTTGCAGACATAATACCAAAATTAAAATCATAAAGGCTTTCTTTTTGTTAAGAAAATGGTTATGCTTCAGCTAATACTCACTGCATGTACAGTGCTATTTGCTTCTCCATTTTATTGCAGTATACAGGTACATATTGCAGGGGGCAGAATATCAGCAGTGGGCTTTCTAGCACTGTGACGTGCATTTCACACATCAGCAACCCTCTTCACATGTCTTTGCCTCAAATGAAGCAACTGCTTCATTTCTGGTACCTAGGTGTATGCAGTGATTGTACCCAGAAAATCTGTTAGTTAGGCTCTATGTATAAAACAACCAATAAGGGTGCATCATCACTTCCTGTATTTTAAACATAGTTGATGTTAAGGGGCCACAGCAAGGCAAAGAGGAGGTGTGGGGTCCAGCTGTATCTCATAGTCATAACGCATGTGTACTCTTTATTTTCTGAAACATTACAGACAAGTATAGAGTGCAAGTCTTTGTTCCAGTTAACTGTGCAGTGAATGGACCATCACTCAATGCGAGATGCCTGATCTCTCTTACAAGCATTGTAATAGTAGGCTACAGTGCTGGTGCTCTTTCACAGTGATTCCTTATTTAGCCTCCCCTGCTCATGGCAGGAAATCCTGGGAGGGCAACAGAGGACCAACAGAGAATGGAATGGAGCAGTTTATGCATTGTTCTGATGGCAGAGGGGAGGATTCCAGCCTGAACAAAAACAGATTCTGGACTATGGAATATGCCAGTTAGCCCAGGTTAGACATCCTTTATTTATGGGAGAGAGTTCTGTGTGAGAACATAGGAGAGGAAGTAGCAACAATGTCAAATGAGTGACAAATGAGTTGCAAAGACAGATTTCTCTTATACAGTAACCTGCTGTGTAATTACCTTTCATTTCTAAGTTCAACAACAAAGAGCAAGGAAAATACTGAAGTTCTTGTTTGAATGGGTACATTGCCCCCTGTTTTGTGTTCATTTAGTACTATGTTGCCTGTAAAGCACAGTGAAAGACTGTACTCTGTGAGATCACAGGTTCAAACATGCAGTTCAGATATGCAACACTGGAGAGAAATCAAAGCAGTATGGATTTTAAAATATTATAAACACTCATTTCCCTAACTTTCATTTAAAAAGGAATTTACTTGCTCTGAAAAGCAGCTTCAGGATATTAAATGTATTTGTCATCTGGCATTTAAAACATGTAAGCTTCAAAGTTTATCTAGACTAAGATTAAAATAATCAGTCAAAAAAACCCAGCTATGAACTAGAATATGACTCTGCCAGTTTTCATTGCAAAGTGTAATTCTGTTCAGTTCTTACCTGGATGTATTGTTATACTTCGTTTTTTTCACTTACAAGAAAAAATAGATGTACTCATTATTTGTAATAGTTTTAAGTTACAAGTTAAGTTTACATCTTACCACCAGTGCTCTAGAAAGTACTGTAATTCATGACAGTGTGTTTTTAGGTACCAAACACTGGTTTTATCAGGCTTGACAGAAAGAGTGAAGGGGATTGTTTAAGGATGCAAGATCCTGTTTTCAAAGGGAGTGTTTTGGTTATTTCTAGAACATGAAATCAGAAAACACGTGTTAACACAATAAATTACTGAGATAAGAGTTTATTATGAAAACTTTTGCGAGACATGCAGCAATTCAACATTGAAGTTGTAGGACTGTATCTTCAGAGAAAGATCTCATCTTAAAACTCCTGTAGCTTTTTGACCTGTCCTGTGTGATTGTATCATTTCAAACTTGTTTAATTTGATTACAGATTTTTTTTTTTTCCTGGCTTTGTGATTTTAGTCCTGTGACAGCTGCTTCATGGTGAAAATGTTCTAAGCTGCTGCTAAGACTGTGATTTCTAGGGTGTCATTTCAGGCTGTGATTTTTCTTTTCTAAACGTCTGGTTAGGTGAACTGCTATGGTTAGGTGAACTGCTATAAATCCTCTGGGAGCTGGTAAGGTTATTCCTTTGCAATGTACATGATGCTGCTGCTCAGAGCTGTGGTGCCTCTATGAGAAACAGACTCCTAGTGCATCTTCAAATGGGATTTCAGTTGGTCTCACAACCCAAGAATCTACTCCAGAGCTCTCTAAAACGCTTAGGCTGTAATTCCACCAGTTGTCTCCAACTATTCCACATAAAGCAGAAGCTCTCAGTGTTTGTTCCCTACGTAGCTGTATTCATCTTCTCATTTGTGAACCATGCATATACTGACTTACTTACATACTGTCTTTTACTGACCTGCTTTAAAGCCTATACAACTTTAAAGCATTGGTGCATATCAACAGTGCAGTGCTTTCTGTTAAAGATATCAGTTTTTTCCTTGCAAAACTGCAGGTTCCAAGACACTGCCAGCTGTGGGCTCCTTTGCAGGTTTTTTATAACTTTGACTTCTTTCAACAGTCACAATAAATGTAGTAAGTAAGTATGTTTATGGTTTTGACTGCAGATGCAAGATCACCAACCTGGGAATATGACAGCCTTCATCCAAGGCTGAAATTACCTGATGATCATTTTGTAGTAAGCTGTAATTGGAGGAGGATGTTTTACCCTTGTGGACCCCAGAGATTTGATAAATTATGGCAAGTGCTAAGCAGAGATGCATTCCTCTCTGGGAGCCATTACTGGGAAGTTGACCTGCTTCATGCTGGAGCAGGATGGTGGATTGGCGCAGCCTACCCTTCTACTGGCAGGAGACTCTGAAACCTGTCAACTGGGCTGGAATAGAGCATCACAATGCCTTAAAAAGTTTGATTTTGAATACTGGGCATTTCACAAGGGGGAGAGAATCCCCATCCTGATAGAAGAAGATCCTGATCACATTAGCATTTTTCTGGATTATGAAGCAGGAATCCTTTCATTCTACAATGTTACTGATGGCGTGGTTCATTTGCACACCTTCCACTGCAAGTTCACAGAACCAGTTTACCCAGCCTTAAGGCTCTGGGAAGGGTCCATTGGAATATGCAAACTAACATCAAGAACAAAGCAAAATAAAGCCTAATATTTCATGCTTTTTCTATGAAACCAGTTTTAGCAATGATCTACATTACTTAATCTCTGTCATATGGAAGTTGTAACTGTCATGCTTTTAGAAGGTAACAGTTAAGTTCAAGAAAACCAAGTCTAATTTTTAATGTATATGCATTTTCCAATGGGGGAAGGTGATCTGGCTTGTGTATAAATTATGTTGATGCACTACCTAAAGTGCCATATATAGTATTTTTTGTACTTTTTTTCAACTTGCAAAATGGAGTCTGGTTGAAAGAAGCGTATTACAACTCATGTTTAAACCTGGATATTGCCATCTTTTTTTATGAATGCCTTCCCCTTATCTGCCTGGAGAGGCTGCAATTGTATATGGTAATAGGTTTAATTTCGTTCAAGCTCCAAGTTCATATATTGCATATTGTTATAGTTGACAAGGTCAGATTTGGATAATAAATGCACTAAGTGAATGAGTTCATACTTAAGTATCACCTCAGAAGAAAAAAGACTGGCACCGACTGTTGGAAAGGTCCCTTCAAGTAAAGCTGAAGTAGGAGCTTCTGTAGCCAACCCTTAATAGACATTAGCTGGTCTTACTTCTGACAAAGACTCTGAACTGGGCTTCTGGGTGGCCCTATTCTTCCCACAGAGAGTGGACGCACAAGAAACAGTTGTGTACCACCTCCAATCAGAGATTAAATGCCTGGAGGACCCACAGGTGCAATAAGAACACTAGGTCACTGGGGCACTTGTGCTTAATTTATTTTTGTGTACTATTTGCTCTTTAACTGCACCTGGATAAAGGTATGCTCACAAAAAACTAGGAGAGACAGCTTGCAAGTTTCTGTATAAGGAAAACTTACTTCTTTTCCCAATACATTAATTAAAGTCCTGGAAGTTTTTGGAGCCTATGTTTACAGCAGCCTCTAGGACCAGCCCTGCTGGAGTGAAGAACCACTGCTACTTCAAGCAGATCAGGTAATCTTAATTGTGTTCAAATACTACAGGCCCTGGAATCATCACTGGTGCTGGCAAAGACAAGGTCTGACCACAAGCTGAAACACAGAAACAATAGCTGATTTTATTAGCTAAATTTACTTTTCAAATGTGAAATAAAAAAAAATAATCTTTTAACAACTGAGCAGTTTTTTCATGTCAGGCAAGGCAAGCACACTGCATCAACCAATCAGAGCTCCCATACAGTCAAGCACATGATTCAAAGAATCTCCGCTTCCCAGTTTAAAGATACAAATACAGCTTCATCAGAATTGCACAAGGGTAAACATTTTTGAAGGAAACGGCTCACAGGTACAGAAACATCACCACCAAATTCAGCATATTCCACCAACTCATAACCTACAAAGTTCCAAATAACCATCACTAGCAAATGATTCCACCACAAAAAAAAATGCAGATAAACTATACCAAAGCAGTTCTGTGCTAGCCAAGCTAATTGAGGGATGCCTGGTTTGCAGCTACTACCATATGACTCCTTCCTGGGGAAAGGGGAGAGCAGCAGGCTGACAGGAGAGGGATTGCATTTCTTACTTGAAAAGTGTGATTTTTACTTGAAAAAAGTGATTCTTACTTGAAAAGTGTGACAATTACACTGTGATGCAAGAACAGAGCACACAAGAGCAGTACTGACCATCATGCTGAAGCACAGGGATGTGATCTAGTCAAGCAGCCAGCCCCAGCTGTCTCAAACACTGGTGTTGGGAACAAAAAAACAACCCAATGTATTTGCTTGTTAATACAGGAAGGACGATGATGAATCTTCACCAGCATTTGCCCCCATGTACAAACAGAGGTATTCAAAAGCACCACAGAATTGATTTAAGATTCCATCTCGCAATAGATACTTTTGACATTTTTTTGAAGCATAGGTGAAGTTTATTTCCACTGATCCATCTCAGAGCTTCTTTCCCCCCTTAATCTTGGGGGAAAATCCCTCTTAAGGCTTGCCCTCCTGCCTTTCAGTTCCCAAAAACTACAAAAAGTCTCTCTTGTCCCTTAAATGGGACCTTTCTACATATCCAGTTTGCATCCTTTCTTGGTACTGTCTCTTGAGATCCTATCTTTTTCATGGAGCTAATTTTCTCCTAAGTGCAGATTCCTGCAACCCACTGCTTTATCTTGAAACTTTTTATCTTAAGGCTTTCATCTTGAGCAAAGTTTATCAGGTTGCATGTGTAGTTTTCTGTTGAGTGTATGTAAACTTTCACTTATCGGCATTCAACCCCAGCTAGCATCCTGTCAACACAGGGGTGAAGAAAACAGCAGAAAAGAGAGGAACATGAAAGATACGGGGTTAGAACAATTCAAAGTGTAGACAAAATTATTGTGATTTAGTGTATTCTTACCAGAAAAAGGAAATGGGAAAGCAGCATACCTGGGTCTTACATTTGGCAAAACTCCAAATTAATCTAAGCTAAATGGAATGGAGGAAGGAGGAGCATGGTGTTTTTTAGGGACAATGTTATAAATTATATTATAAAATTGGTCTTCATAATTTATATCCACTTGTGCCAGAGACTTCCTGCTAATGAGAACCTGAAATTCTAACTTGCTTGAATCCTCATAATTACACATCTTTCAGAAGAAAATCTGAATCTACCATGCTCCTATACTTAAATATGTTGTGCAGTAGTGCACATCATGAAATGCGGAATGGAGCACTTAGTTTAGCACTTCACTTTTTTGACATGATTTTCTATAGCTTGCTCAGTGATGGTTTCATCTTCTTCAACTCTTTTTTTAACCTTCTGGCCCACCAGATCGAAGATGGATTCTGGGGGAAATCCCTTAGGCTCTCCCACCTTCACTGTGAGCATGTCAAGTGTCAGCACTGCACCTTCAGGAATTGTCACTTTCGCCACAACAGACTTTCCCAGCTACAGGGGAGAAATAAAAAAAATTTAAGTCAGTCAAACACATTCCTAGGCTTAGTATACTAATACCAGAAAAGGCTAAAAAATATTCTGCAGTTACTTCTCTGGAACTGCCTTCACCATTACTTCTTATTCCAAATGAAGGCTGAGTTAGCATGGAAACCTTCACTGTAACTAGGCTGCTGGGAACATGCAGATCCTTTCTGAAATCAGATGATGGCTCACTGGAATTTTTCAGAATGAGAATGGAGGGAATGATCAGACTGACTAGTATTCTAGCTTAAGTGTAAAAGCAGCTCGTATACAGTCATAGACTTATTACTCCTATTACTATTACTGAGTAGTTTCTATTTGGCACTGGTGAGGCTGCACCTTAAATACTGTGTTCAGTTTTGGGCCGCTCACTACAAGAAAGACACTGAGGTGCTGGAGCATGTCCAAAGGAGAACAACAGAGCTGGTAAAGAGTCTAGAGAACAAGTCTTATGAGGAGCAGCTGAGGGAACCGGCTTTGTTTAGCCTGGAGAGGAGGCGGCTCAGGGGAGACCTTATCACTTTCTACAACTACCTGAAAGGAGGTTGTAGCGAGGTGGGTGTCAGTCTCTTCTCTCAAGTAACAGGTGACAGGGCAAGAGAAAATGGCCTCAAGTTGCACCACAGGAGGTTTAGATTAGATATTATGAAAAATTTCTTCATTGAAAGGGTTATCAAGCATTGGAACAGGCTGCCCAGGGTTGAGCATCCCTGGAGGTACTTAAAAGACACATAGATGTGGCACTTAGGGACATGGTTTAGTGGTGGACTTGGCAGTGTTAGGTTAACGGTTGGATTCAATGATCTTAAGGGTCTTTTCCAACCTAAACCATTCTATGATTCTACTCAACTTACTTAACTATTGGATGATATACATAGAACTCCATTATACTAAAAATTGCCAACATGCTTTGGTAAAAATAGTTAGTGACTGCCAGAAATAGCAGTTTATAGAAAATGACAGGTCTACACTAACATTACTTCTCCAGGGAGACCTTACTGCAGCCTTCCAGTACTTAAAGGGGGCTTCTATGAAAGATGGGGACAGACTGTTTAGCAGGGCCTATGGTCCTAGGGCTTAGCTGCTATAGGACAAGGGGTCATGGTTTTAAACTAAAAGAGGGCAGATTTTGACTAGATCTAAGGAAGAAATTTTTCACAATGAGGGCGGTGAAACACTGGAAGAGTTTGCCCAGAGAGGTGGTAGATGCCCCATCCCTGACAACATTCAAGGTCAGGTTGGATGAGACTCTGAGCAACTTGATCTAGTTTATGACGTTCCTGCTTACTGCAAGGGGGTTGGACTAGATGACCTTTAAAGGTCCAACCCAAAGATTCTATGATTACAGTGGGCTAAGCATAAACACTATCCATGCTGCTACTTGTCAGCAGAAATTTTTTAGTGCAGGGGCAGAAACACTGCTGCAATACACAATTAGCAAGTTATTTTTCCAAATACAAAGTTAGCTATAGGTCTAATTGAGTTTCAGTTATTCATGAATCAAAAGCAAAAGTTACCTTTTCATTGCAAGCCATTTCACAGGGCAGTAGTTGTTTGACTGGAGAACCCATTGCTTTTTCCACGGTTCGGATGGCTTTCACTAAGTCTGACAATTCATTTGGCTCCAGGGATGCTTGGTGGTCACTTCCTTTCCATGTTTTGTCGAGAGTCACATGGCGTTCCACTACTTTAGCACCCATAGCAACAGCTGCCACTGAAATGGCTATGCCAGTTTCGTGCCCCGAATAGCCAATGGGGATATCAGGAAAAGCTGACTGATATGCCTTGAATCACGACAGAGTTGGACTGAATTACCAAGGTAGCAATGTCAAAGACAAAGCAAATTTAACAGTGATAACTGCAATAAAAACCATGGGCAATTACTGTGCTACAAAACAAGCCGTTGGTTATGCTGAGAATGAACTTTTTTATATTCACCATGTCACACTACATTACCAACTGTCGTGTTTTAAGAATTTCAGTAGGATTATCAATACTGACAAGGAAAACAAGGTATGTTCTATTATACAACTTCTCTTACACTCTTCCTTTTCAAACATCACTGTAAGTTACACTAATAAGGTAGTGCTCTATTTTCATCCAAGAACCCAGGGGACTGAGTTAAACTTAACCTGTATCCAAAGGATATTTCTTCAACCCCATATTTAAAATCTGAAGCAATCCTTTCAGCCATACATAGGGGACAGTCACCCAAACCTAAAGGCAATTAAATGCAGCCATGTCCCATTCTACTAAAAATAACATACTTTGTGTGCATAAAGCTAGGCAAGTGCTTGAATACTGGCCAATTTGGGAAGATTTTCTTGCATCATTATCAGGCATATCCAAGTAATGTTTTCAGTGAAGGAAACTATACAAGGACCTAATCCATTTTCTTCATTGCTCTGATATTCACATAAAGTGTTTTTAACAAAAAGTTTCTGGTCTAGCCCCCTATTTATAATTATGTTCTCAATTCCATACACCCTCTTAATGGTAACAGTCTACATAATTTTTCTTTGCATTACAAAGCACAAGGTTAACCCTTATATCGTATTTTCCTCTGTTTAATTGTGACTATTCCAGCAATATCCTTTATCATATTCCTCAAAGCTGAGTTCTGCTAAAAGAGGATCCAATGGATATTTTTACTTCAATACTTGCATTAATAGAGGAACATGAAACATCTTGTAACTTCTCAGAAGCAAATTCCAGCATGCCAAAGATCTAGAAATGTATCTCAATAAAAGCGCATAGCCCTCCTCTGATGCTGTAATCATGACACACTGGGTTATTCACTGACCGATATAACACGGAGATTGACATCCTCTGGCTGAAGCGGGTATGCACTGGTACATTGCAAGAAGCAGAAGTTTGGATTGATGGGCTTCACAATCTGATAAACCTGATGCATTGTGTTCATTGACTGCATACCGCTGGAAATCACCATTGGGCGACCTAGCCATTAGAAAACACATATACGTTTTGTCCTAGGTCTGTAAGAAAGCTACACAACCTTAAACTAAATTCTTGAAGTAAAGTAATTCAGTTAAACTAGAAAGGAAATCTGGGTGAACTCTTTTTTTCGATATCTGAGTGTGATTTTCTTCTAAAGGTACTTCAGAAAGATCTACTGAGACACAGTGATGTTTACCAAGACAGCTCAAAAGAAAACACTTACCTTTCTTTGCAGTTTTTTCCAAATATGGAAAATTGTTTGTATCTCCTGATCCTACTTTGAAAAATGGAACATCCAGTTCATGTAGAAATTCCACAGCCATCTGCAAGGAAAAGAAATCACTACATTTTAACACACCACTTCACCTGGATCAAAGATTAATAACTATCATGCTGGAAAATAAATAACCCTTCAAAATAGCGAAACGAAACCTTAATTATGTAGGTCATCTACATGTATCTGTATGTCTCTCCCCCAAATACAATGCTCCTGAAATAACATTTACTATTCCAAGGATATTAGTTTCTGACTTCCCTCCAGGTGAAGTATTATTGAGGTGCCTTCTTTTATACTTCTGTAAAAACTTATTTTTGACTGGGATCCCTGTCTCAAGGCAGTCTCTTTGGTCTCCCAGCCATAACTGGTCAAGCCAGCTGTAGATACAGCTGCTTAGTACAGGTGAGCTCCACTGCTTCTCTAACTTCAAGATGAGCTTGTGGGCCACAGCATTCTTGCTTTTTTTTTTTTGGCACCACCAGAGAGAGCAACTACCTGCAGATGGAAGCTTGCCTGTTGAAGAAGAAATGTACTGCAGGCACGCAGGCAAGTCTTCTGCCACATACTTCCTGCGAGTCAGAAATACCAAACCATAGAGTGTTTAAAACTACAGGTAGTTTTCCTGAATAGATCTGTCACTCTGAAAAACTATGAGTATACTGAATAAGCACCTAAAAAAAGTAGGTGCCCAAAAAGAGAAGTCCAAAATGGATTTGCTTCTAGGAGATATACTAGAACATAAATATAAAATGTGCCAATGACTATAAACTAATTTATTCAAATGTTAATTATACTCTGCATTCTTCTAAAAATGCGTGTGCTATATTCAAGACAATTCAGGAACTGTTGGAGGCTCCTTGAAAATCAGTATTGCATCAATAAGTAGCCTTTTAAAAATCAGTACTTCTAAGGAAGCAAATCCCAAACCTATCATAGGCAAGAGATATGAAATCCTCCATTCACATCTGGGGGAAACAATGAAATAGTTACCTAACTTTGTCCCACTTCAACCACCCACAAACACTTTTAATGTCCTCAGCTTAGTCCTTGTTACAGTCTAATTTACTTAGTGCCAAAGAAAGAGTACTAATGTCCAAAGGGAATCACATCTTCTTCAGTCTAATTTTTCTACCATTTTTATGATGCAGATTCAATTTCTTGTATCTAGGACACATAACATCTCTTCAGTACAGTTTATCCACAAAGATGCATTGTGCATGAAGACAGTGAATACACTCTATTAAAAAGCCACAGATCTGAGAAGACTGCACAAAATGAAATATGACAGACAGACCTCATATCGAAGGCCACTTTTCATTAGGTAAGTATCTCTTGAAAACTGACAGCTTTTCTGTACGAGATTCAAGAAACAGGAAGTAATCTCAAATAATGTTGACATTAAAGGGAGTGGTTCAGTGGGATCCTGCTTTGCCTTCAGTATACAATGGAACAGAGTAGGTAAAGGAGTTACTCATAGCCTTTATATTTACCTCACGTATCACTTTGTTGATTTCCTCATATAGTTAAACACAACTTAACCTCTTCCACATAGCTGGAGTTCCAGAGATTATGTTCAATTTACAGAAGTTAACGTATTCTCAAGGACTTAATTATGTCAATTTATGCAATATTTGCCGTAAGTTCCAAACCCATGTCTTGCAGAAATACCACCAGAAATGTTAGGAGCTTAAATTACATAAAAATGTAATTACTGTTCAAAAAGGAGGGCACAAACACTATCAGTACTGTTAATTAGCAGCTAAGACCACACATAAAGGAGCACAGCATCTTGAGAAAAAGAGGGATCCCAGATGTGGAAAGTGATCTTAGCTCCTGCATATGAAAGGTGTTCTGCATTGCACTGTAGCCTTTAGAAGCTACAGGTTTTAATATCAAAGAGTGTGATTTGTTTCCCCCTGAAAGGCACATTGGTCTTTAAGATCCCAGATATAGAAGTCCAAGGTTACTGGATTCAATTACTCTTTCCTTAAAGAGGTAGATGTTGTTTAGCAGGTCTCCCAGGCATGAAAGTAACAATAAAAGAAACATCACAACACTCTCTGTTCACAGATCTATTTCTGAGTCCATGGCATTGGGCTATTGCAATACATGCAGAACACCTTTTTTCTTCAGGCATCTGAAGTAACTTTTAATGGTATTTGGTGCTTGTACTATCTCAGCTGGGGCATAGCGATTTAGGACTTTTGTTCAATAGGACAGTGAGTTGATAGAAGCAGTGAGAATGGCCAGAGGACTAGAAAAGACAGCATAGAAAGGTTGAAGGAATTTAAATTGCTTAGTCCAGAGAATACAAAACAGAAAAGAGATGTGATAATGGTGTTCAAATACACAGAGAGGACATACAAGGAAACTATGAATTTTTGTGTCAGATGAGGCAAGACAAAGAATTAAGAGAATGGAGATTAAGCTGATACATCAGGAATTTCCTCTGATGGTAAGGAGAGTGAATAGATCACATTAAAACATTAATTAAATCCCATCCTTGTCCAATCCTGCATAATGCTACTTGCAGAAAGACAGGGACATTGCTATGCTTGCCGTATGCAAGAGTGGCTAGCTTATTCCTTGGAGGATCTCTTTCAGTTTGGTTCTCTATATTTTCTAGGCCACAAAGTAAAGTAAAATAATTTGTAATCTTTGATCTATATTGACGTTTAACTGTTACTTGATCTTTCCAATTTACACATTTCAATTGTACATTGCATTTGTTAATACTGTAACTAACATCATTTTGAGGTAAGCAACATGCAAGAGTTAAAGTTGTGTGTATCTCTTAAGGGGGAACAGCAGCAGATGAACTTCATGGAGTTTATAGGCTGGTTGACTGACTGTTCAGGACCCCACTGACAAAAATCAGTAAATGTCTCAGGAGTAACAGGGCAAGGTGGAGACCCTCTTCATGAGATTAGCGAAAGAAAAGGGAATATAAGCATTTCTGCTGCTTAGAAACACCAACTGGGGTCTCGTAAACAGCAGAAAGGAAAAAAAAAAGGGAAATAATGGGGATTAAGTTGAGAATGGAATCTAGTTTAAATACAGAGACAAGTTTGAAATGCTTGGGGCCAGTATACCAGACAACACCAGATAGTGGTCAGACTGCAGTCTTGATCTAAACTCTCAAACTCTTTATTGTTTATGGAGTTCAATTAAGGCCCTGTATCCAATATGATATACTATGCATAAATACCTCAGCATACACAGCACGTCTTCCAAAATGTTCAGCCATCTACTCAACCATTGTAGAGACACATGTGAACTGGCAGAATTACAATTACTCTAGCTTCCTCATTTAGAAATTCAACATCCACACATATTTAGTGTTCTTTTTAGGTGAGAACTATCAGGCCTGTAACCAATAGACACAACAGCTGGAATCTGCTTGTCATTCCAGTATGGTTTACATACCTCATCCATGCCAGAAGCTGTGAAGAAAATGCCAATTTCCTCTGCATATTTCTTTAGCTCTCTATATTGGTCATGACTAAACTCCAAGTGACGCTTGTGCTCCCCATAGGTCTTTCCCCAGGAATGTTTAGAGGTATACGGCCTTTCTAAGGCTTTCTTGTTGAATTTGTACTCCAGTTCACTCTTCTGGAACTTAGCACAGTCTGCTCCACAGTCCTGCAAAACAAGCTGGTGTAGTGAGTGGAAATGCAAGTCAAACAGCACTCATCCTACGTTTGAACACAAGGGTTGTGCAGTTAACGTGCTCATTTGCAGCAGAGTTTTCACAGCATCATCACAGCAATCACAGGAATGGTACAAACACAAGAGTGACAGGGGACCTGCACACACATGAACCCTTTTATTTGAAAATGCCTGTATACTTAGTAGAGCAGTAGACTAGAAAGAAATCATAATAAAACTGCAAAAATCCCTCTTGCTGTGCATGCCACGTATTTCAAGTGTTGATTTCTGTATTTTCCAAGCTCAGCTATCATATGACGATTTTACATGAAAACAAGTGATTCTATTATTCCTTGTTTACATGAAAACAAGGATTCTGTAAAACAAGGAGTATGAATCTGCAATTTATTTGAAGTGACAGACATGGTGAAGTTAAATTCTCACTATACTATTTTCCAGTCACAGATCTGAACGCATTATGCACTGACTTCTTCAGTGGTGATATGCCGTTTTTTAACATAGGTATATCCAATGTATGTAATACCAAATTTTAAAATGGCTGTCTTACTGGATGATACATGTATTACCTCAAAAACCCTAATGAAATCAAGTCAAATTGGAGGTTTCTCAAAGACAGTTCAGCAGTTACTTAATTCTTCCCATATTCACAGTTAGCTTACGACACAGCTGAAGGATAGCTGTAACCCTTCGGAGGCTATATAATCTGCCTGTTTGTTTTTGTATATGGGCAAATGTGTGTGCCGTGGATGAGGTAGGAACTTCCTTAAAGCGAATACGATGTCATCATAGGCTCTGAGGTACAGACCGAAGGCTACAAAACAAGCACCCGCTTTGTTGGCCCTCACCACGACTGTATCCTTCCAGCTACTTCATTTTAAAAATTCCTCCTGCAAATCACTCCACTCCTCCTACGTGGTGCCACCGCCCAGAGACGATGCTCCCCGAACGGAGTGTGTCCCGCAGGGAGGGCGTGACGCCTCACGCCCTCTCCCGGCTTTCCCGGCTCCCGGCGGTACACTGGGGCTCTCGCTCACCCGCACTTCGCTACC